AGAGGAAAAAGGAATGAATAGTTATTCAGTGAGGAATGATCACATACTGGGCAGACACCTGACTATAAGGTAGGACCTAGAGTGATATAAACATGTACCCAGATAGTTCCTTATTCTCTCTAGTATCTAAAACAGTTTAGCTCCTGAGATCCTTCAACCTAATCACCCTTGATGTCAAGATACATAGAAATGCCCAAGAGTTTTTAGGCTGGCACGGTAGCCACCCTCAATGTAAGCAAAGGATTTCAAAGGCAAGACGGCAGACACAGGGTGACTCTTGGTCATTAAAGCAGCAGTATCACTAAGCTCTCGTACCAAAAGACTGGTAAGCCAGCAGAAGACTGACAACCTAATTCAAGATAATAAGTTTTTAATTTTCTCCTAAGCATGAAGTCTATTATCACCTCTAACCTTATTGTGTTCCCTAATCTGAATAAGCTCTTTGGTAAAAAAAAACAACTCAATGTACAAATAAGTGGATTCTCCCAAAGCTAATGCTGGGCATTCACATCTCACAGATGGAACATTCTGAGCACACCTCTGTGTGGTTTACATAAGATGACACAGGGACTTTCTAAAAATTTTCCCCCAAAATATATTTTGGAATAAAAATTCTAAAACGTTAAATGAAGCATGTATGTTTTCTAAATATTTATTTTAGTGTAATGTTGATACTATTCTTCAAAGGAAATTCATAGGTATACTATCAAAATAAATATAATATGCAAGGAATATTTAAACAAATTCAGAAAAGATGTTCTCAAAAGTTGTATTAGAGATCCTTCACAGTGACGGGAGAAACGCTTATCAAAGAAAACCTTATGCGTTTAAACTTATTTAAAATTCCTCTTCCCTAGTCCCTGCCAACCAATTCCTGCATCATACTGTTGAAATGTTTCCTTTTCCATTTATAGTAACAAAGCCAGGAAGAAATTTAAATTATAATCTATGTCATGGGGCTTCATATTAGATAGCTAACATTTTTTTCAGAAATAGACAATATTTATCTATTTGAGCATTTTTGTTGTTGTCATCACTCAATATTGAGGGTGTTTTTTTTTTCCAAACAATGGGCCAGCAGTAGCTGCAATATTCAAGATACCCCAAATCAAAGTCTTAAAATATCCCAAATCACACTCTAAAGTATCTAGAATATCCCCAAGAAATCCAAAATCAAACTCCTAAAATATTCTAACTCACACAACCACTTGTAATAATAAACAATATTAAAAAATTAGTCATAGCATCTACAAGTTGTCATTCCTGAATTAAGAAACTACTAGAGGCCTGGTGCACAAAATTCATGCACAGTGGTGGGGGGAGTCCCTCAGTCCGACATCCCTCTTGCAATCTGGGACCACTGGCTCCTAACCGCTCACCTGCTTGCCTGCCTGATCACCCCTAATTGTTCGCCTGCCTGTCTGATCACCCCTAACCACTCTGCCTTGGTCCCCACCGCCGCAGCTTCGTCTGGAAGGACGTCCAGAATGACTTCTGGAAGGTTGTTCGGCTGTCCGGTCTAATTAGCATATTACGCTTTTATTATTATAGATTAGGAACAAAGTCTCTAAATCAAACCCCCTCTTAAGAACACTGATATGGTGCTCACTTTGGCAAAACACATACTAAAATTTGAATAATGCAAAGATTAACATGTCTGCTGCACAAGGATGACACGCAAATTTGTTGTGTTCCACACTTTTATATAAATGGCTAATCACAGGGTTTTACACCTGAAACTAATATAACATTGTATATCAACTGCAATTTAAAAAATATTCAAAAGAAAACACTGATATGAAACAAATTCTACTCTCAGAAAACATTTGCAACCTTAAACAAAATTTAAAAAGCAATCAGCATTTGGGGCATTTTCATTTGGGGTATTCTTGCCTTGCTCTCTACTTGGAGAAAATGTCTTTGTGAGAAGAACCTGGGAAAGCAACCAGGGCCCATCTAACTATCTCTTCAAGGCATACCATTTAAGTTGCTACCTCTGTCTCCATATAAAGGATTAGAGAAACAATAATCATTTTAATGAATTTATTAAATGTCAATTATATTGCATAAATATGTGCTAAGCACTATGAAGAAAAGTAATGTTGTCCACATGTATCTTATGGTTTATTCAAGAAGATATGACACACATATTAATTACAGCATAGAACAATATATGATCACCATCAATAGTATATAAAGTGTCAAAATAGTTTGAAAGTCATAGGTAACAGTTCAATCTGGGGAGATCAGAGAGCCTTTATATAAAAGTTACATAAATTAACTGGAAAAAAATGTGGGTGGTACAGTACTCCACATGAAAAAACTTTCAAAAAGGCGTGCAGGTGGAAAACGTAGAGTATCTGTAAAACAAGAGTCATGAGGCTGAAGTTCAAGATATTTAAAGGGGAGTAGTGAAGGAAAAGCCTATTTAATTTTGGAAGAGACAATGAGGTTTACACTTCCTTAATTTGGTATTGAATTGCTATCCCTGCACACTGTTTGTGTGTGTGTGTGTGTGTGTGTGTGTGTTTAATATCAAAGAAACTGCCACAGCCCTAACTGGTTTGGCTCAGTGGATAGAGCATTGGCCCGAGGACTGAAGGGTCTCAGGTTCAATTCTGGTCAGTTGCAGGTTAGATCCCTGGCACAGGTTGGGGTGCATGCAGGAGGCAACCAATCACCAATCGATGTGTCTCTCTCACATTGATGTTTCTCTCTCTGTGTCACTCCCCCTCCCTTTCACTCTCTCTAAAAAATCCATGGAAAATATCCTCAGGTGAGGATTAACAACAACAAAGGACAGTGCCACAAACAGAGGGATGGTTAGAATAATCTGAGGGTGGCGGGTAAATAGAGAGAGCTCAGGGTTAAGGAAAGACGTTCTCAATAGAAAATAAAAGAAGCCAGTATGTGCCAGGCACTGATAGTATTTCATTTAATCCTAATGACTCAGTTATAAAACATTTTTATAGATAAGAAAACTGAGGCAATTCAACAAGAGTTGGCAGCCCAGAAATAAAAAGCTGATTGATGGAAAGTACTCAGATTTAGGGACCGGGAAGGCAAACCTGCTGGAAGATGAGAAAAGAGAGGAAAATCTACAGCCCCTGTAAACACAAAGGTAATGGAAATGACTATTGCAGAATCCAAGTTAAATATGAAGAAAATGCAGCAACCTGAAAAGCAGTCATATATTAGACTAAATAAGGAGGATGAAGAACAAATAACTAAGAAAGAGAAGTGGATAAGCTAGATGTCAAAAAGGTTGTGTTCAAAGAGAGACCCTAAGATCTCAGTAATGGGACAGCTTTCCATGTTGAAATACCACCATCCTGGGGGAGGGGTGGTGGACTATGGGTGTAGATACCCAGAGGTAAGGAAACAGAAGAAAAGTTGGCTTAGGGTAGCATGTAGAAAAGGCTACAATAATTATAATGGTAGACAGGAGAGAGAGAAAACCATGATTCTAATACTAAAGTCACTGAACTTTAAAAAAAAAAATCTAAAGAATGCAGAAGACTGATAGCAGAGAAGATGACAAAATAAACACCTGAGAGGTGCATCCGGGAAGAAATTTTGGAATGCTGATAATGAAACTATCGTTACCTGTCAGCATCAGTGAAGAACCAAGAAAAATGCTGACTTTTTAAAACTTACTTTAAATTCAGAAGAAGAAAAAAAAGAGGAATTGCCTGTATTATCCCCAGCCACATCCATTGTCATTATTTTAAAACCAGGGTAATGGTATTGTTTCAAGGATTGAAGATGATGGCCATTGTCTCTAACTTGCAGGACACCTTCCCACCCAGAAGAGGCTCAATCTGCAGGTGATCACCTGCATCTGAGGTAGAAGTCACAGGTTTTTCAACCTCCTAAATATGGTTCAATGTGTGATCTCCCAAACTGTTTTTAATACAAAATAATTGGCAAAATGCAACTTACTTACATTTAATGAGAATTTAATACTCAACAGAGTATTGTTTGCCAATGCTGAACTTTTTTATTTTCATGTACTTTCAATAATTTGTAAAGTTATGCATAGCCTTGATGATAAATTTTAAGATTAAGGTTCTATTGAATGAGTTTCGTCTAGATAAAACCACATTGTAAGAATGCAATGCCCAATATGTTGCTTACTTATTCTTTTGGTCCACAGACACACACACACAGACACACACACACAGACACACACACACACACACACACACACACACACACACACACTACTAAGATCAAAACTGCTTAAATTTCTAAAACAGGATTCCAGATAACAAACGGTGGTTAAAGGTGAAAGGTGGAACAAGACCAAGCATACAACTCACGTAACTTTCCACTTGAAAATGAAATGGAAAATTACACTTGGTTTTATTCCATTTTTCCAACTATTATATAGGTATTAAAAATGTCAGTTTCCTAAATCACATCTTCACTTCTTGCTGGGTTACAGTTTAGTTTTATATGGCTAGCAAATTTATCCACAGTTTTAGGAAATTAATTAGCCATTCAGTGGTATAAAAAATACTGCTTGTTTCACAGATAGATTTATCTGTTTTGATAAATAGGAGATCATTACATTTTAAGAGTAGTTAGTAACTTCTGCAAAATCAAATTTAGGGAAATAGCTTAAAAGAAAAAGCATAATTTGGAGAGGAAGAGAAAGGGTTTTTTTATGGGTCACTGGCTTGCTTTTCTAAGTCTGACTTAGAAAATCAATACAACTGAGAACTGTTCCTCTGGGAAAGGCTATTTTTTTAAAAACATACTAAATGACTAACAACTATAAAATAGTTCAAAATTTTAAGTCAGTTGACTGGGATGGTGGAATTCATAGTACTGATATCAAAACATTGTTAGAAAAAAGATAATACCTTTTAGCATTTTTAAACAACCAAACTGAGTGATGAAGTATTTTGTCAAAGAAAAAAAATCAAGAAATATACAGCAGAGGGTTTGAATGACAGCAGAAAGGAAGTCCTGGCATTTCGCTAGCTCCAGCATACCTGCCATGAACAGTTGTAGATTTGATAATGTCCCCAGGTAGAACCACTGTGAGTTCAATGTCTTTATCTATCATACTTTCTTTCTGTTCCATGACGAAAGCAAAGGATTCTACAGCATCATCAACTGGAGAGGCATCAAGGTTTTTGGTCTCAGCTGGAGGAAGGGGTGCCTTGGCTTTTGGTTTTCTCCTAAAATAAAAACAATGGCAGAAAATGAAATATATGTATTTTCAAAGTAAATTTCTAATGTGATCTAATTTAACAAAAACACAAAATGTGTGTGCATATATGTTTTTCACATCTAGAAAAAAATGCACCAAAATGTTAACTGTTAGTTTAATAATAATAATGAAATAAGGATTTTTTTTTTTGCCTTTTTTGTCAGCACTTTTTTGTTGTTGTTGTTCTCAACAATCTGCCTATATTACTTGGTAATAAAAAGAAACAAAATAATAATGAGGAGATTGATATTTGCCTCCATTAACTCAATTAATGTGTGCTTACTATAGCAAAGCAAAAGTATACCATTTTCTTTGATGAGATAAAGTATACTGTCTCTGGGTGGAGATCAGTATCTCCATCACATACTCATAATAGCTCTTAACTTTGTGCCTTTCATTCTATTTGTTTCCAATTGTGTCTTCTACCTCTCTATCCAGATAAACCCTACCTACCCTTTGAAGTCCAGCTGAAACCCTCTCCCTCCTGCCCCTTACACAGTCTCTCCCTATAGATTGCATATAACGGATTCCATAAGTGTAACATATTTTTCTGGGTACCAGTTTCATTTCTCTACCTACATTTACTTAGAAGAAAAAAAAAAAAACATGTTGTATTTCCCACTGCACTTAGCAATAACCAATAAAGTCTGATTGGTTATTTGATAAATTATATTGCTATTTCAATGAAAGATATTACAAATAATTATTTGAGTAAATATATTTCAGTGCCACATACTAGAATAAGCCTTTAACAGATTTACAACAGAAATAGGTAGTATACATCATGAGAAAATTCACATGGGCCAATTCAATGATTTGATGGGTTGAAAAAGTGAAATATAAATATAAAATAACTATAAGTAATGACACATATACTTTTTAAAGTACTGCAAGTTAGAGTTTTTGAAAATGTTGCCTTTATAAAAGGCTGATTGCTTTTGGAAAAACAACTACTACTGCTTTCCATTCAGGAAAAATATAAAATTTTAATTCCTCTCACTCCCCATTTTCTAGGCAACAATACAAATCAAACAAGTAAAAGGGCTTCTTTGTTAGTAACTACATAACATCCAACTCTTCAGTATTTTCAAAATTTAAGGTCTCACAAATACAACCACCTTTACGCACTCAGCATCATGAAAAAAACGGAAGTGAGGTTCCTACATCTATTAATTTTCTAAAATAATAGGCCTTGGACTATAATTGAAAGATATATTGAACTTTAGAAAAGATTTGAAATAAATATTTAAAAGTGTTACAATACATAGAATAAGTTCATAAAATCTATATGAAGAAAAACTTGAACCAATTTCAAAACATTTTTAATCTGCAGACATTGACCATTCACATATTCACAAACATTTATCTTGTCACAATCATGTGGCAGACTCAGCTAAGCACTGGGGATGTAAAGTCAATATTGAGGCAGGATAGTAAGAAGCTAGGAAGATTCCTTGGCAAGAGGAATAGGGAAACTGAGACAATAATTCAACAAGCAGTTTGCAGCCACCTAGTAAATCCCATCTTCCCTAACCCCCTGGACCTGTCCCAAGGCCCCCTTTTCTCTGACTTCTTAGTGAGCCAAAGCAGCTCAGCCTAAGCTCATTTCCTTGCCTAGTCCCTCTCCTGTTACCCTAGGCCAGCGGTTCTCAACGTGTGGGTCGCGACCTCTTTGGGGGTCGAACGACCCTTTCACAGGGGTCGCCTAAGGCCATCGGAAAACACATAATTACATATTGCTTTGTGATTAATCATTATGCTTTAATTATGTTCAATTTGTAAGAATGAAATTGGGGATCACCACATCATGAGGAACTGTATTAAAGGGTCCGGCAGTAGGAAGGTTGAGAACCACTGCCCTAGACCCTTCCTTGTTTCACTGTTCCCAGTGTTAATAAACGTCCTCTAAAATTCACCTGGATTTGTGCTGTGAAGTTTTTCCTGCACAAAGTCAAGAATCCACACACTACCAGACTGTCCCTAGGCAGACACACTAAGGACCAGGTCCCCTTTCCAGTAGAATATGACCCAGATCCTACCCCTAAAGGGTTTGTGATCCAAAAGGATGGTCAGATATGTATAAAATTACAATAAAGTTTGATGTCTGCTCTCATAAAAGAAGGTATGCAAATGGTACTGCTAAGCTCATAGGAAGAGAAACTTTCTTAAGTACCCAGAAATGTTTTACAGATGGGGAACAGTTGAGTTTGGGGGACTGAATAGAAACACAGGAAAAGATAAGAAATAACTGATATTTCAGGCAGAGGAAAGTAAAGGGACTCAGATGACTAATGAGTCTCCAACTTAATTTAACTTCCAATTCCTCTTCCCAGATTCTCCAAACCAAATCTTTTCCGCTCCAAGTCTTCCCATCTCAGTAAGTCACAATGCTTTCAGTTGCTTGGGCCAAAAATAGCCTCTTTCATACACATGCAATACAACCCATAGATAAATTTCTCCAGTTCTTTACTGTATAAATAGACCCAGAATCCACCAATTGCCTTATTCCCTAAACACCTCTGTTCAAGCTGCTAAGCCCCCCTGCTCCCAATGTTGTCACATTGCACTCTGTTCTCCATGTCCCAGGCCAGCAGCTGGAGTGATTCTTTTAAAGTGTAAGTCAGATCACTGCACTTCTCACACCCTCCCAAGTCTTCAGACCGCACCCAGAACAGCATCTAGAGTCCTGTCATGTGTACAGGACTGTCCTCTCCAGTCTTCTCGCTCCCACATTCTCCCTAGGCTCACTGCACTCCAATCTTATGACTCTTACCTTTTCCTTGAAAACACCTAGAACATCCCTGATTCAGGATCCTCTACAGGGTTTCTTCCTGACCTTAAGATAACACCTCTATTTATGGGCTTTACTTTTTGCCTTAGGGCTTATCAGCAAGGAACATCCTGGTTTATCTCCTTCCATTAAAGGTAGGGACTTGTCTCTACTACCTGGTGTCACATGTTTGCAAACGTGGAACGACACCTGCCACATAGTAGCCACTCATATTTACTGAATGAATGAACTCAATGAATACTATCCACAAAAGATGAGATACTTAGGCATATAATTGAGAAGGAAAAAAGTTCTTACCACCAAGGAAGAAAATGAATTTTTATATCAGGATTACTTGTGTTGGACTTTTAAAATAATTGATTCTATTTTTTTTAAAGATAAGTATTAAAAAATATATACTGAGCCAACTGGCATGGCTCAGTGATTGAGCATTGACCTATGAACCAGGAGGTCACAGTTTGATTTCGGTCAGGGCACATGCCCAGGTTTTAGGCTTGATCCCCAGTAGGGGGCAAGAAGGAGGCAGCTGATCATTGATGTTTCTATCTCTCCCTCTCCCTTCCTCTCTGAAATCAATAAAAACATATTTTAAAAAATACATACTGGATTTATTAGCATGGGATAACTGGGAAGTTTAGTGCTTTGAAAGAGTTCCTAGCAAAACCAGGAGAGAAGCCCAGCTGCACAGGCAGGGAGGCGGAGCATCAGGAACAACTCTGTCCACAGTGAACTTGGCTTTCAAAAGAATGGCAGTGAAGGAAGGTCTGACAGGTACCTCCTCCTGTCACCATGGCCTTCCTATAGCCTGCTTTCATCATTCCAGGCACCTTCCCAGCTCCAAGTGTTGCTCATCCTGGTCTGCACCTGAATGCCCTCCCCATTCTCTCTGCCTTTATAGGTCCAGATTGAGTCATGATTTCTTGGACTGTCTTCCCTGTCGAAGGCACACTGCAATGAACTACTCTGACTCACAGTTTTAATGTTCTGTGTATGTGGGACTGTCTTATTTCCTAAGGTTCTTTGAATCTGTGATGAAAACCCATCTCTAATTACTAAAGTTAAGTCTACTTAAAAAAAACCCAAAAACACACAGCAGAACAAAGCACTAGTTGAAATATTATTTACATAGAACTTCTGTTAAGAACATCTTTAATGTTCCCTAGCATTACTTGAAATAATAAAACATTCGTTACCCTGGGTCTTAAAAATTAGAAAGTATATTCGAATCAGACCAAGATCCTTCCACAATGAACTAGAAATCATGGGGAAGATGTAATGTGTAAGTAATTAAATAATGAATACAAAGCAAAGAATGGGTAATCCTGAAAATTCAGAGCAATGAGAGCAAGCTCAAACTAGCTCTGTGGGAGTGTGGAGGCAGGTATCACGGTATATTTCAAAGAGAAGAAATGTATGACTCAGCTCTTGAAAGAAAAGTAGAATTTAGACAAGCAGAGCCCTGTAGGATCAATTATATGTTGGTTCCCAACTGTGATCTATTTATATGAAAGTTAGGAATGTGGCTAGCTAGTTAAAGTTTGCTGACTACATAGCATAGACTAGCGAAAAGAATACCAGGTAGAGGCCTGGATTTGGCCTGAGTCCTAAGTAGCTTTAGACTTTGTTAACTTATTGGAAATATTCACCAATGAGGATTTTAAGATTGATCTACTGACATTTCTTCCAATGTTCTTGATTATACTTTGAAGCAATAACAAAATTAAATGTCACCCAAAGTCAAAGATACACTGAAAATAATCAAAAGTTATAACTTAAGTATAAGAAAGTAAAAAAAAAAAAGTAACACATCAACATGCAATAATTCTTAAATTATACTGCTTAAGAATACTTGTTTTCACTAATATTTTAAAGTCACAGTAACGGCCATTAAAGTCCCTGTACTCTTTTAAACAAGAATGTTTGAGCTAGTTCTCTTACCCAAGGGATGTTCACATAAACTCTTCTTTCCCAGTGGCCTAGTCTGACTATCAGTTTCTACTCCTCAGAGGCTCCTATCTTTAACAATAAACAATAGCAAATTTCACACAAGGGTGGGTAGAGAGGTTACACTGACAAGATACTCGAGACAGAAAATTTCTCTAGGTCAGAACAAAAATTCCTTAATCAAGCCTTAAAAATATTGGAACTATCTCCTAGTTCCAATACATTATCAAGTC